TCTTTACACAGGCGGTTACGTACAGCGATGCAGGGGCCTCGCCGGGGAAAGCAGCTGCGGTGTTACAGGGTGCTATTTTATTTCCATTTCCACATCCACTGGAACTGCTGTTAACTTTATCCGCTGGAATTTCCAGCCGCTCCCGAGCTCGCCTTGCCCGGCACAACCCGCTCAGCCTGTCCTGGCCGCAAACACAAACGCTCTTGCTTGAAGCCTTCACACCTTCCACTCCTCACATCCACACCTGCAGCCAGCTCTCTACAACGGGCTTTTATGCCGCGATTCGGCGTAAAAACAGCCCTGCCCGAAACGCCCTCCCGTTACACCGAGTCTGGGGGTTCGCTGCCTTTTCCAAATCGTTCCCACCTGGCTGGCTGACTCCGGAGATTCCCACTTCGCTGAAGGGAAAAAGTGTTTTTAATTGCATGCGAGTTACGCATGATTAAACGAAACAAACCAAACGCCAGCGTTAATTACGAAGCGGGGCAGGTTAGTCCTCACCCGGAGTCCTCTGCCACAAACACCGAACGACTTCAAAGCAGCGGAGCAGCGTGAGCCGTGCTGACGCCCCGAGGCTGGGTGCCCAGGGCTTGCCCCGACGTCCAGCCACCCGCACGCAGCTCCGCTTTGGGCAGGTCTGAGTCCAGGAGACCGAGACGATCAGACCTCTGGGTTATTACTAATCCAAGCAACTACTCGCACCCTCCCAGCTGCAGAGCCGCGTTACTCCTTCGCCGGGGCCGTCTCCACACCGGGCGTCTGCAAGGCACGAGCAGCCAAAATCCCACAGCGAGCACAAGGCACCTGCGACTCCATCCAGCTTGTGCAGGTCACTGGGACCCGGGAAAACGTCTTCTGCTGCCTTAGACCTTATCTGCAGGGTGGGTGTCAGGAGGATGGGGCCAGACTCTTGTCAGTGGTGCCCAGCGACAGGACAAGGGGCATCGGGCACAAACTGAAGCAGAGGAAGCTCCAGCTGAACATGAGGAAGAACTTCTTCCCTCTGAGGGTGACGGAGCCCTGGCACAGGCTGCCCAGGGAGGCTGTGGAGTCTCCTTCTCTGGAGATATTCCAGACCCGCCTGGACAAGGTCCTGTGCAGCCTGCTCTGGGTGAGCCTACTTCAGCAGGGGCTTGAACTGGGTGACCCACAGAGGGCCCTTCCAACTCCAACCATGCTGTGATTCTGTGATTCTCCTGGGAGAGAGGATGGAACATCCCAAGCTGCCCATGGGGTTTGTAAGAGCAGCCCTGATGAGATCTAAATCGATCTGACCTTCATCATCTTTACTCTGCTGAAGCCAAATCACAGGGAAATGGACACGCAGAAACCTTTCAGGAGGTCCGAGAGGACTCTCCCACCCCACTAACCCAGCTCAGAAGCGCACTGCCCAGCTCCTCAGAGCAGTGCAACCCTCCTCTGCCCTTCAGATCTTCCCGTCTCTCCACCAGCTGAGCAGCAGAAGGTGGCAGCAGGAGGAACGACCGCTGTTCTGCAACATTCAGCTCGACTTCACCGACACGCCTCCCGCGCCGAGGGCTCACACCACCAGCAGCGACCCTGAGCCGGCTCCCACCAGCTTCCCAGCAAGGGCACGTTTGAAGTTTTGCTCCCATCTGCAAATATTGTTCCCTACATCATGGGGCCAAACAACATAACCAGGCTGGAAAACTGGCTCTCGCCGTCTCCTGGAACCAGAACCAAGACAAACGATCGCCTCGCTGCAGCTGTTTGTTTCCTCTGGCTGAGATGCTTTGGTGGGAAACTGTCTCCAAAAACAAGTTTTAAAAGAAGTCTCCAGCCCCTACAGGTACGGACAGACAATAAAATGCTTTTGAGAGCGAGTAATACAGAAACGCAGCAGTGCCGAAGCGAATTATTCATAGCCAAGGCTAAGATTTGTCACAGGTTTCAGCAACCTCTTTACGGCGAACGATAGCCAGGGTGGGAGACTGGGCAAACTGAGACCTGCTAAAGAGAGAAACCGTCGGAGCAAACCTGCCACCAGGCAGCTAGAAAAACACAAACAGGGCCAGCTGACATGTTCCCTCTGTCCCACAGGTGGAGAGGGAAAAAAACCATCGCGACTTCACAACAGAGGCCATGGGAAGAGCAGCCTGTCTGGGTGGGGAAGGTGGAGTTCCCACGCTCTAAGCAACGTCTGCCGGCAGCAGGATTGAGTCTTCACAAGCCAAAGGTGTGGGACAGCCTCGAGCAGGACGCTCAGCTCGCCGCGGACTCCCAGGTCCTCGCACTGTCTGACGGAGCGCCCGCGGCCAGCGCTCCCACGGGCGTCCTCGTGATGCTCCGGCCGTGCGTTCCCACGCACGGGCAGGGAGCTGTGCCTCTGCCGCCCCGCACAACCCCCTCAGCCAACTTCTTCCAAGCCACCAGATTGCAATTTAGATGACAGCAGGTGCTTTATTTAAAACTTGTATACTGAAGATCTCCCCATCAACAGAGCCTGAATTATTCATGGACAGGACCAGCAGAAGCTTTAACATCGTGCCATACCATGGCACTGCCTCGCTCTAGAGCAGGAGAAGGAATATTTGTGTCTCTCCACAAGGTTTTTCCAGACATCCAAAACCTGGAGCCCCACAGGAAAGCCCTCTCGGCAGTGCTGGGCGGCTGAAGCACTCCCTGAACTAGCAGCTCCAGGGACAGGGCTGGAGCACCTCTCCTCCGAGGGCAGGCTGAGGGAGCTGGGGCTGTTCAGCCTGGAGCAGAGAAGGCTCTGGGGTGACCTTAGAGCAGCTGCCCGTGCCTGGAGGGGCCGGCAGGAAA